ATATTAGCTTTGTCAAAAAAAAAAAAAAAAGTATGAGATATTAGTTGTTGCTAAGGGTCACAGGGTCAAAATGTGACCCGTCCCTAAGTTGTCCCGACCCGTCCCGACCCTTATAGGGTCAACAAATGACCCGTCCCTAATCTGTCCCAGTAGACAAACTGACCCGTCCCGACCCTTAGGGATGGGACGGGTCGGGACGGGTCAGTGGGTCTTCCGGGACAAGCTTTCACCCCTAATTGCAGCACATTTTTTAGTGTATCATTGTACTCCGTAAAATTTGCAACACTCCTCGGCACGGGGCGCGGCGCCTCTGGCCTCCTTTGCGGACCAAAATTTCCATACATGGGTCGGGGCGCCTGCCTCACCTCCACTTCATCACCCCTTAGGAGCCTCTTTTCAGCCCTTCGTCCCGCCAACGTTTCCTCCAACATGATCACCTTCTGCACTCTCCGGTCTAGGTCTTTAGTGGACACCACATCTCGCTTAGAAAGGACTCAGCAGAGCTCTTCGCTCGAAGTGCATGCGTCCAAACAAACTCCCAACACCGTCGGTTGGACATCTTTGACTGCCATGGCAACCGAGATCCACCGGTCGTAGAATTCTCTGAGCGCCTCACCTTCCCTCTGCTTCACTTTGAACAGTGCGCCTATGGTCAACGTTCGACGCTTCCGACTTGCAAACTTGGACAAGAATAACTCAGCAAATTGCTCAAAACACTCTATGCGCCCCTCCTCGATTTGATGGTACCAATCCAAGACCACGCCCGCAAACGTGGATGGAAACACCTTACATATCGTGGCGTCCGAGCTGTTGTAAAGTTGCATCTTTGTGAAGTAGCCGTTCAAATGATCTTCTGGGTCGGCCACTCCATCATAACTGGGTAACGGAGGGATCGTGGTTCTTGCCGGTTCCATCAGGATGCTTCGTGCAAGGGGTTGCCGGACGCCGAACCGCTTGGCAATCCTCCTAGGCGCCCAGACGTCATCAGGGCCCGTCTGCTTGTCGTGTCCCTGCTCGGTGTGGTGCGGGAGTCCGTATTGCAGGGACTCCGAGTATTCCCCTGCCCTTTCTCGCTTGCTCACTCCTGGGTTGTACATCATCATGTCTTCACTTCGCTCCCCTTCCAACTCCCTCCTGAGCGCCGCAATGGCCCGATCTTGGTCAGCTATGATTCGGAACAACTCTCTCTTCGTCAAGGATTCCCCCTCATCCGCTGACAGGCGCCCAGGGCTCCCTTGCCCTTCCATATCCATGCTCAACTCCTGACTCAGTTGACGCTCGCCTTCCTCGTGATTCGAGTTCCCCGATTTCAAATTATCCTCCCCCTCGTTTCCTTTGTTCATGTTTTCCATGGCCCAATAGTCTAGCCTCCCTTCCTGGCGCGCCAATTGTTTGAGCCAGGTACCCTCCGGTCCCACCTCTTTGGACCCCCGACTGATGAACTCCTTTGGGGCGCTTAGACTCTGCACAGACAAGCGCCTAAAGGGTTTTTGGATGCCCGTTAGCACTCCGACGCTCAAGTCAGTGCCAAATCTAGAGAGATAAGTGCTAAGAGAGATTTTAGTGAGAGAAGCCAACCTGCGTAAATGCCACCTATCGAGTACTATTTATACTCGGCGAGGTCCCGACCAGACTCCTAGAATTCAGCTCCACGTCATCTCGTCATTAAATGCTCGGTACGGCCCAACGGTCGGGCGCCTACACGTGACGGCTCCTAAGCCTGGGCGCCCTATGGGACCACCTTGCTAGGTGGCACGCCCTCAGCCCCTCAGGTGCACGGTCCCCGCCCTACTTTTGTCGCTAGGCGCCTGCTCACCCTAGCATGAGCCTGATTCCTTACTTGCATCCCCTTCTCCTAATTCTCAGGTGGGCTTGGGTTTATGCAGCCCCCATGGGCCCACGTCCCCTAAGGGTCCATTTATGTTTACCCAACAAGACCCATTGATTATGAGTAGGGTATGGGTGACGTATATATGGGTTTGAAAGTTTGTAGATGGATTTAGGTAGTGTATGAATATTTACTTCCATAATCTAAATGTGTATGAGTTGGGTATGGATACTCATTTATTCGATGGTGTTTTAATTACACATACAAAAATTAGACCTATTTGCATAACTTACAAAGTTAACATACCAAAATGTATATACAAACATTTTAGGTACTAAAATGTAATGTTCCATCAATATTTTGAGGACTTATATGCTAAAAAAATAAATTTAATTTATAAATCTAAAGATCTATTAAGTTTAGGTATCGAACGGTAATTTGCATAGTATAGGCTTAATTGCTTTTATGGTGATGTATTTAAGATGATAATTATTTAATTTTTTTATATAAAAATGGAAACTATTGATTTGATATGTGTAGATACCTAGCCAAACATTTTATGTATAATTGTTGAAAATTCTAGCCTGGGTGAAAAAGAAAAAATCTAGAGAGAAGCAAAAGAATTGGTCAAAATCTTACCATCATCTACTTTCTATCCGTTTCATTTTTCACTCGCCTAGATATGTTCGTTTGAAGTTTCCACCTAGGTTAGGATTTTTCAAAAAAAAAAAAAAAAAACCAGACCGCTTAGTGGGAGTGCGGTTTGCAAAACCGCCCCCTACCAGTGCGGTTTTCATAAAAAAACGCGCCCCCGTGTGGCGGGTTTCGCCTAAACCGCTGGTACGGTGGCGGTTTTTGGGAAAGGGTGCTATTTTTGGAATTTTTCGGAGTTGGGTGCTATTTTTGGATTTTTTTTAAACAGTGCTATTTCTGGAAAAATCTCCAACATCTTGTATGGTACAAACTAAATTTATACTTTTATGTTATGGTGGATTGGATTTATGGATTGGTTCAAAAGGATTGGTGGATTGGATGCATGGATTCAAGTGAAATCTAAACATTGGACCAATATGTAAATTTAAAAATATTGTAGGTACGAAAATCTCATAAAATTTAGATACCAAAACATAATTGTTCAATGATTTTACATTAAAATTAAATTTGGGGTATCATGGATTGGATTCATGGATTGGTTCAAAAGGATTGGTGGATTGGATTCATGGATTCAAGTGAAATCTAAATATTGGACCAATTTATATTAAAATTAAATTGGGGTATCAAAATATAAAATGTACATTATAATGACTAATTTGTAATTTGTTAGGCAGTGACTATTTTTTAATTTGTTTGGCAACAGTAACCAAACTTCAGCTTTATATATTAACTAGGTGGTGATGTCGCAACTTGTCGCGGGGCGGAGATGGCCTATGGGCATGTATTATGTGGCCCGTTATGGGTGTTTTGTTAGCATTATTAGCTTAAAATTATTTTTTTGTTAGCAGTTTTGTTAGTAATAATATCGAATTCACAATATTATATTGACAGAGAATAGATATATGGCGGTCAACATCCAATTTAAATTTTTTGAAAATTTTGGCTAATAAATGATATTTACGTAAACCCAAGTAGACTCATTGATTATGGGTAGGGTATGTATGACTTATATATGAGTTTGGAAGTTTGTAGATGAGTTTGGGTAGGGTATGGATATTTACTTTCAAATCTAAAGATGTGTATGATGAGTATGGATACCCATTTATTCGAAGGTGTTTTAATTACACATACAAATACCTATTTATAGAACTTCAAAAGTTATGGTACTAAGATGTAAAACACAAAAAATTTAGGTGCTTAAATGTAATATTTCATAAATAATTTGAGGACTTATGTCCCAAAAAAAAATTTAGGTTATAAATCTAAAGATCTGTTAAGTTTAGGTACCCAACTGCAATTTGCATAGTTGAGGCTTAATTCCTTTTATGATAATGTATTTAAGATGATAATTATTTTATTTTTTATAGAAAATAGAAAGAATATATATTTGATATGTATAATTGTTGAAAATTCCATGTATAATTGTTAAAACTTCTAGCCCGAGTGAAAAAGAAAACTCTAGAGAGAAGCAAAATGAATACAAACTGGAACTCGCTAAAAATTTCATGCCTTCAAATCCCATAGTGGAAAATGAAGACTTTCTAATAAGTAATAGCCATATATATTTGTTTTTAATTGGACTCAACATTGAGCTGAAAATGTTAGTGGTTCATGGTTCAATTATTAATTCTCTAGATTGTTGGTCAGTCTTGTATGGACCCGTTCATATTTGTGATTATATTACATAAAAATAGTATACTAATTAGTGTTAGACGAAGAAGGCAAAGAAAGAAATAAAGAAAGGGTTATGGAAGTCGTGTAAAAAATGAAACGAAGGGGAAGTAGATGATGGAACGGTTTTGACCAATTCTTTTAGTTGGCCGTCAATGCAATAGTCAACCCTTTTCACCGTAGCAATTTATTGACACTTGCTTATATAGATGTTGCATATTTTGTTACATGTAGTTAGTAGAAGTAGTACCCCGTAAATGTTCTAAATGAGTTTATAAATTTGCTCTTGCAATATTTTAGAATCGTCTCACTTTTATTTTATAATGTTTCGTGTAATGAGCAAATATAAAATGGTCGAATCTTCTCCTACAGTTGAGTGATACAACACATCTTGTATTGTACAAACTAAATTTATACTGTTATGTTATGGTGGATTGGATTTGTTCAAAAGGATTGGTCGATTGGATTCATGGATTTAAGTGAAATCTAAACATTGGACCAATATGTGTAAAAGTGAAAAAAATGTACGTACGAAAATCTTATAAAATTTAGATACCAAAACATAATTGTTCAATAATTTTACATTAAAATTAAATATGGGGTATCAAAATGTAAAATGTACATTCTAGTGACTAAGTTGTAATTTAATAAAATTTGGGGTATCAAAATGAAATAGTTTAGGCAACGGTAACTTGCCTTCAACTTCCCTTCTCCCTTCGGTTGAACATATGATAAACCTTTGGCTGAGTGACTTCGTTCCTTCAGCGGACAATTCATAAGAAATGGTAAGATATGGGCAAGAGTTCTCGCGGATCTCCCTAGTACCGGGAAACCTACAGAAGTAAGAATGGGAAGAGTAAAAGGAAATCGTACGGGTTGGATTGCTCGTGTCTCCACAGGACAAATCCTATTTGAAATGGATGGTGTGAGTTTGTCGTATGTTCGATGATTTTATATATAAAATTTATATACCAAAACATAATTGTTCAATGATTTTACATTAAAATTAAATTTGATATATCAAAATGTAAAATGTACATTATAGTGACTAAGTTATAATTAAATTAAATTTGGGATATCAATAGTTTAGGCAACAGTAACTTGCCTTCAACTTCTTCATTCCATACCTCCCAAGGATTACTGTCAATTTGTTAACCATAAAAAAAAACTTGCCTTCAACTTTATATATAATAACTAGATCATGGTGAGTCGAAATTCATAGTGGTAGTATGTGTTTACGACCATCAATAAAGACGAATGCGTTATATACAACGGAGATGAGCATAAAATTCTACTTCCATTATCCATGTTTCGTAGGGAGGGGAAAAACAATACATAAACAAAAAAAAAAAAAAAAATGATCACAACACTACCTTTCAAGTGGAGGTATGGAGGTCAAACATGTAAAGCTTGGATAACAGACGATAAAAATTAGCGGCGTCAAACAGTGTGGTTACCGTAGTAACCATTAACATGTAGTATTTGGATAATTAGGTTTGGTTAATTTGGATAATAGTTTGGTTTGGTTAAAATTTTTAGCTTGTTTGGTTGATTTCAAACACTCCTAACCAAATTAACCAGATAAGTAATTAGTCATATCTCATAAATATTATATACACAATTACACATACTTAATACTTTGCATAACCACTCAAGTGTCAAACGTTACTTCCTCTTAGGCTCATAAAAAGTAAAATTCAATATTGTTCCTATATTGTATATTTTTATTTGTAGAGTGTAGACCACAACATATGTACTCTTATTTTAGATAAAACTCATAAAATATATTGGATGAAAACTTGACATATGGCAATTGCTAAGAGAATACGTCAATTTACAAAACAAAACAATTCATTAACCTCATACCATTGACATATATATTTTGTTACATGAATACTTCTACTGACAGTAAGATAATTGTATTAGTTACATGTATTTATGCTAAGGATTAACTATAATTGTGTGTTGATTGTTGTGTTCTATTCATTATATAAATTGCAAATTGATGCATTAACCGAAGATTTCCTCATGATAATGTGATATTATATTGGTTATTCTGGTTAGCCAATTAACCAAACCGATTAAACTTTAGTTTAATTAATTTGGTTGTTGTATTAGTTTGGACGGTTTGGTTATGATATTGTATTTTATGGTTAATAGTGGAGCAAACGTACAATTAACCAACAATGCAATAAGAAAATAATGAGACTTATACATTCATAAAAAAGTACAACTAATTAACAACTACACATCTTCATTCGTTTTGTTTCAATCTGGATGTCAAATTAAACAGGATTACAAAGGTTTCTTTTATTATGAGGTTCTTCATCTATTGAACGCGAGAAATCAGATTATTAGTAAATATTAATCACTTAAGTCGCACATAAAAAAATAAAGTATCACTTGATGAAGATCCGGTGTAGCATCCTCGTCCTCTTGAACATGTCATATGTCATGCTCGCATCACGGTGACGTCATCTCAGTATTTAGACGAGTTTTACATTATGAACCAATAGAACCTTGAAGGAACCAGAAAACTAAGGGGGAATTAGAGTTGTGGGATTGAGAAAGAAAGTAGAAGGAAAGGATGAGAGGAATAAGGAGTTGCATAATTTTCGTTTTGTAGTAAGGCAGTGAGTTCAAGAGGGGATATCGAAATCACCAGATGTTGGACCGTCCTCAAATTTGGATGAAGCGTTCCGTACTTTCTGTGATCGGATATAATCGTTCGGATCGTCCCTATGATCTTTGGTTCATTGAGAAATGTTGCTGGTCAGACATGGTGTGATTCTATTTTCCTGTAACTGGATAGTTCATTCCGATAAGGATTCCTAAGAAACCAACTATTGGATCATCCTCAAACTTTGAGGACAAGTTCAAGATTTGTTTCAAGTCGATTTGCCCTTAAGGTCAAGGATCAATGTTCTGATCGTTGGTTTGTTGGGAGACAATACTGGACAGAGAGGGTGTGAAATTGGTTGAAAATCTTTCAACTAGAAACGTACAAAAATGAACTAGAAACTCGTTTTTGACCTTTCTAACCATTTTAACCGCTTTTTTAATGTTTTTGCACACAATACATTTTTTGCCTAGCTCAAAAGATAACAATGTGTGTTTTTGCGTTTTAAGATGCGTTTTTTACTACATTGTCGATGATAGAATCTAGTATCACATATTTGGGCGGGTTTTTAGAGCATTTTCCTAATTTTTTGGCTATTTTTTCAAATGGCTATTTTCCTTGGATTTTTATGGTTATAGATCACGGATTCGGCCTAAGCCTATACTTCAATAATGAATAAGTCGATTAAGAACCTATTTGGGCAATTTTTTTGGGATAATTTTTGTTAGATTCCAAAGGCGGTACCTGGCACAGATTTCAGAAGACCGTTTTCCTTGGATTTTGAAGACTTCAGATCACGAATTGCGTGGATTTTTTCTGGTTCCATCTTTCACAGATTCCAAAGGGGTACCATAATAGATTTCTGACGAATTTTTTGAAAGACCATTTTTCATGGATTTTGAAGGCTACAGATCGCATACGGCCTAACTCTATTCTATACAGATGATGAAGTATATTACTCGTCGATTTTGGCAGATTGTTATTGGAGGGCATCTTTTGTAATTAGTGGGCAATTCTTTTGAAAGACCATTTTTATTAGATTTTGAAGTCTACAGATACACATTCAGCATGAGGCTATTCTTCACCGATGATTAAGTCTATTAAGCATCGATTTTGACGGATTTTTCCCAATCCCATTTTAGCATAATCGAAAGGGGTACCATCAGAGATTTCTGACAATTTTTTTAAAAAGACAGTTTACTTTGATTTTGATGCCTATAGATCACGGAGTCGGCATCATACTATTCTCCACCGATGATGAAGTCTACTAATTGTCGATTTGATGAATTATTTTTGAAGGCCATTTTCATAATTTTTTGAGTGATTTTTTTGATAGCCATTATCTTTGAATTTTGAAGGCTACAAACCACGAATTTGGCCTAAGGCTATTCTCCATCGATAATGAAGTCTATTAAGCACCGATTTTGATAGATTTTTTCTTGGTCCATTTTTGTGAGATTCCAAAGGGGTGCCATCACAGATTTGAGCAATTTTTTCAAAAGAGCAATTTCATTGGATTTTGAATATTACGGATTACGAATTTGGACTATGGATATTCTCAACCAAAGATGAAGTCTATTAATCATCAATTTGGGCGGATTTTTTACCGGTCCATTTTTGTAAATTCTAAAGTGCTATCACAGATTTCAGGCGATTTTTATGAAAGTACGATTCCTTTAGATTTTGAAGGTTACAAATCATAGATTCGGCATTAGGCTATTCTTCACCAATGATGAAGTCTGTTAATCGCCGATTTGCGAAAGTTTTTCTTGGAAAGCATTTGGGTGATTTTTTCGAAAGACCATTTACCTTAGATTTTGAAGGCTATAGATCACGGATTCGCCCTGAGACTATTCTTCACCAATGAATAAGTCTATTAAGCACCGATTTAGGTGGATTTTTTTCGGGGTCATTTCTTGAAGATTCCAAAGGGGTACGTACCATAACATATTTCGAGCAATTTTTTGAAATGCCATTTTCCTTCGATTTTCAAGGCCACATATCACGTATTTAGCCTACGGCTATTCTCTGTCGATGATAAAATCTATTAATCTCCGATTTTAAGGATTTTTCAAAAGGCATTTTCGTAATTTTTTGTGTAATTTTTTGAGAAGACCATTTTCCTTTGATTTTGATGACTATAGATCACGAATTCGGTATGTGGCTAATTTTCACCATTGATTAAGTCTATTAAGCATCGATATTAGCGGATTTTTTCCAAATTCATGTTTGGCAAATTCAAAAGGGGGTACCATCACATATTTCAGGTGATTTTTTTGAAAGACCAATTTCTTTAGATTTTGAAGACTACATATCACAGATTTGGTCTGAGACTATTCTCCACCAATGATGAAGTTTATTAAGCACCAATTTGGGCGAAGTTTTTCCGGAGGCATTTTCGTAATTATTTGGGGGATTTATTCGAAAGACAATTATTTTTGGATTTTGAAGGAGATTGATCAAGGATTCGGCATGAGGCCATTATTCACTGATGGTTAATCTATCAAACATCGATTTAGGCGGATTTTTTCGGAGCCATTTTTGGCAGATTGTAAAGAGGTACCGTTACAGATTTTGAGTGATTTTTCAAAAGACATATTTCTTTAGATGTGAAAGTCTACATATCACGGATTCGACATGAGGCTATTCTTCACCGGTGATGAAGTCTATTATACACCGATTTGGACGAATATTTTTCGAGGCCATTTTTGGCTGACCCAACGGGGTAACATATCATATGCCATATGATATTTTTGAAAAGCCATTTTACTTTGATTTTGGAGGTTGCAGATAACAGATTCGGTCTGGGGATATTATCCACCGATGATAAAGTCTTTTAATCACCATCATGGACAGATTTTTTTCGGAGGGCATTTTCATAATTTTGGGATTTTTTTTCGAAATACCAATTTCCCTGGATTTTGAAGGCTACAGATTACGGATTCGGCCTGAGGATAATCTTCACCAATGATTAAGTCTATTAAGTATCGATTTGGATGAATTTTTTCTGGATCCATTTTTGATAGATTCTAATAGAGTACATTACTTACCAGCCCCGAGGGCAAATAACATACCCTATGGGTGGAAGGGCAATTCCTACTACAACTGTAGCTATCGTATACAGGTTAACCCTTACACCAGTAGTTGTACCGAAAGCCACCCATATATTGCTTCAGGTATTACCCATTAGATCATTGTTGATATATATGATCTTTTTTTTTTACAAGGATTACCGACTTTTATTCCACCAATCAAATGAAAGACGAGAAACTTGGTTACAATCTTTAAAGAAGATCAGAAATGAGATCAAGAATATTAATCCAATCATC